GGTTGGTCAAACAGGACCTGCCCTTCATGAAGCCAGGCTGGCTGGGCCTGATCCCCTGGTTGTCCTGCACGTGCCTTGTGAGCACACCCAAGATGAACTGCTCCACAACTGTCCCCGGCGCCGAGGTCAGGCTGATGGGCCTGTATTTCCCCAGGTCCTCTTTCCAGCCCTTCTTGTAGATGGGCGTCACATTGCATCAAGAACCAACTGATGTTTTGGACGTCCCTCTAGTAACACCCCTGACCAGCAGCACCCCCCAGCAGCAGCTTCATGTAGAACCTGTTCCAAATAATCAGTGTCTCTCTGCTTTGCTGTTTTCAAAGTCCTTGGCTCAGTCCCTACTTTGTGCTGAAGATGACTGCAGACGGCTGTGCTAGCCAGGGCCCTGTCCCTTCCCATGGTTATTTGAGGCCAAGGTGAGGGTACCTACAAGCTGCACCACAGCTGAGCCCAAAGCCACCGCACACCCCCGTTCCCTTCAGGCAGCAGAGCTAAGCTGGTGTTTCAGGAAGCTCCTGCCTGCTGGACCACCTGTGCAGCAGGACCAGGATGCAGAGCAGCTTGTACCCAACACGGGGCTTCTCCTCCTTCCCGTGGCAGGGCAAGTTTGTGGCCTTTCAAATAGGCACATTCAGACAGTGTAACCACCCGATTCCAAGGCGCGCAATCCCTTGCTGGGAGATCTTCCCAGCGACTGGGACAAACAAGCCTTGCAGTCAGATGGCTGCCCTGGACCAGCTGCCAGACTGCTCGCTGGCCGTGCTGAAGCTGGACTCGCTTCCGAGGAGCCCCGTCCCAAGCATTTCACACTCCCTCCCTGACAGGCTTCGCCCCGCATGCCCGTCCAGTGAAGCAGGAGGAGGTTGGGCCCACATCCCACAGCTTTGCAGAGTACCAGCACCATCTACTGGGCACCTGCTGGGCACGCCAGCAATGCTGACGGCCCCCACCCACCCCACTGCCCCGAATCTCAGGAGGCACAGAGCGTGTGCTCCTCCGTTTGTCTCCCAGGCAGGAACCCCAGAGACTGCTCGCGGTGTCCAGAGATGCCGGCAGCCCACAAACTCAACCAACCGCAGGACCACGAGAGCTTTAGGGAAGGGAGAGCACAGCCCCAAAAGGTGTTCCTGTCAAGCACGCCACAACCACCAACCTCACCAGCACGCTGAGCCCCAAGGTCTCCTGAAAGGTGGCTGCAAGAGCCAAGGAACCAGAGCAAGGCACTCTGTCCCTGAAAAGGAGAGCTGCTCTCAGAGGTGAGAGTGCAGGTCTGGCATGCTCCTAACGCCTGCCCTTGCTGCATCCAGAAGGCTGCTGGCAGGCGTTCCATGAGGGTGAAGAGTCTCAGACCCACAAGAAGTCATCCTCTTCCCACTTGCCAGCGCTGTGCTGGTCAGCACCACAATGACTTCCCTCCAGAGGCAGCACCCA